CTCTTTCCATTCATATTCTAGACAGTCTCTAAGGTCCAAATCAAGTACCTCTTTCCTTATGAAGTCTTTTTTGCCTCTTGTAGCCACCACCATTTTCTCTTTTCCTACAAAGCATGCCTATGCCATATAATTGAGAGCTGAATTATAGAGCGTGCCTCATGTGGCTCTCTCGCTTGCTTGCTTTCTTTCTTTCTTTCTTTCTTTCTTTCTTTCTTTCTTTCTTTCTTTCTTTCTTTCTTTCTTTCTTTCTTTCTTTCTTTTTCTTTCTTTCTTTAGGACTGTGAGAATTTCTTGAGTTTGTCTTCTGGTTCACTTATGTGATTTTCTGTATTAACCAATCTGATATTCACTTCATTCCAATTTTAAATTTGGAAAGCATATTTTTATCTCAAGCAATTATTTTTTTCTGATGATGTATTTTGATTATTTCTGTTACTACTTGTTTTAATTTCTTTGATGAATATACTCTTAAATTTTTTTTCTTATTTTTTAATATAAATATTACAGATACACCCAGTAACTCTGACTCAGCCAACTAATTCCTTGCAGTCTCTTACACTGCAGAATCTTTTCAAACATATGACTTTTATTAGTAAGTTTGGTCAAAGATTGGAGTGTTACCTGCTCATATTGCATATTTTAGTTCCAATAATGTAGAAAATGAATACAGAGTTAAAACTGTGGGCAAACTCAGAAACAGTTTTTCTTCTTAATTGTTTCTTTCTATTTCTGCCTGATTTCCTATGATGTTCTCTTTCCATATTATGCCATATTTACCATGTTAATGACAAGATGCTGCAGTGCTTGGTGTTTCTATGATACTGCCTGTGGCACTTTACTACATTGTGACATGTTGCCAACTCTGTGCCAATTTTTGCTTGCTGTAGACATTGGCATTTGAAATACTCTTTGGTACTTTACTGAATAGCTGCTTCCAAAGGGAGCCAATAAGAACAGTGAAAAATAGTCAATTTGTGTGGAATCTGGTTGGTTTAGGCTCTGTCTATTCTCACCTCCGGTCTCTTTGAGTGAAGGGATTTTTGTGGAGATCAACCAGAGGCTACTCCACTTACATCTCAGGAAGGATAACGTTACCCAGAAGGGGCTCAGAAGATTGACCCTAGTATGTTATTTAGTCTAGTTCCACTATTTTTTTTTTTTTTTTTACAATTTAGCAGTAAGGCACACATATATATATTGCATCGTGTGTTCACCACCCATAGTAGATTTCTTTCTGTCACCACATATTTGACCCCTTTTACCCCATCTACTTCTCCCCTACCCTTCCCCCTCTACCCTTTGGTAACCACTAGTCAGTTGTCCATGTCTGTGAGTCTTTGTACTATTTGTTTGTTGCTTTTAGGTTTATACCCTACATATAAGTGATATCATGTGGTTTTCAACTTTTTCTGTCTGGCTTATTTCACTTAGCATGATTATCTCAAGGTCCATCCACGT